TAGATAGTCTTGTATTATCGATATTGTATCTTAAATAAAGTATAATCTTTGCTCTTTTATTAACTTTGTAACAAACTACTACAGTGAAGTAATATTCTACTTTGATATTATTAGGAATTCCTCTTCTGTGTTTTATATTACTTGAGATATATTAAGAAGACTATACCACTTGTAATAATTTGAATACTTTCTTTTTATCCTTAGATATGCCTATGCTATTTTGGTAACTTTTTTCAAGATTATATTTTTTATTATTATTCATTGAATTTGTTAAACAATATTTTCATCTCTTATTAAATTTTTAGCTTCTATCAACAATATAAGATCAATGTAATACTTATGACATAGCTGATCATATAAGCTAAGTTCTACTTTTAAATTCAGTACTGCTAGACTTTGCATAGCTTTATATAAAAGTTTTGATATCAGTCTACAAAACTTCTCTTTTGGATCATCCTTGTCACATACTATACAAGATCCTGTATTTTTGCATGTCTATCTTGTTTTATTGTTACTAGTAGAAGTTTGGGATCATGAAATAAAATTTTGGGATGTTGGTAACTAAAACTTTACTGAATACGTATACAGAAGATCAAACTATATTATTATTGAAAAAACAATTCTAGAAACTTTGAGAAAGTGGTAACGTTCATAAGTAAAATGTAATAAATCAACCAATCAGCGTTAATTTTTACTAATTAGTCATTTGATCATGCATAAATAGTATTTTAAAAAAATTGACCAGTCAATGGATTTTTATCTATGCTGATTACCGGTTACTGGCGCTTATTTCATCGACACACATTTTACCGACTGTGTCATTTCACCGATAGGGTTTAGCGTTAGCCAGTTTTATATTTTCGGTGAAATTATTGTCGGTGAAATAATACGGACCCCTGGAAAGTACAGTCACGTAATCCTCTAACTGCTTAAATAAATTAGAAAAAAACATGAATATTATTTTTGTTTAACAGTTAACGTTAAAGGAAATAGCAGTAGTTATATGTTGAATTTGACTTGATTTTTACGTAATATATACTATACGATATATAGATAATACTTCGCGGACAGCCGTTTCGCAGCCGAAAATTTAACCCGATTTAGGGTGTATATACGATATACAGTATAAAATTATTTTATTTTATTAGCCAAGACTTTTTAACGTTAAAACCAAAATCCGGTATTTCTGTATTTGAGTCAAAAACCGGTAAATTTCAAATCCCTCTAAATATGGATAATACTGTAATTTTACGGTTCCTGGTCCTCTGAACCCAGTCCTAATTACATGATGGTGTAACGCAGAATTTCGAGATAGATGGTACACCCAATTTTCAGATTTTAAATTCATCATGATTTTGTTGCCAATTTCACCGTCGCTATTGCAATCTGCGGAAAATGGAACATGTCCAGATAGGCCTGATAATATTCCCCTTCACTGGTGGAATGTTGGAGTGGCCTCTTTGTTTATTTTCGTTAGCGGTATGGGACTTGAATTCCGAGATATTTAAGCTAGACACCAAAACTTAAAAATTATATCACTTTATTTATAGGTATAATTTCTATGTGGCTTGGTTTACGCTTAGAAAAATCTTTATTAATTAGCTCGATTCGATGTGTTGTGCAACTAACAATCATGGTAAATCAATCGTTTAAATTGATAAGATTTATTATTATTATAAATATTAACAATCTTTTCATTAATTAGGGCTTAGTTCTTGATGATGTTTTCAAAATGCAGCATCCAGTTGTTATATTGGGAGTAATATGTAAGTATTGTCACTCGAATTGATATTTATAATAATTATAATTTTCATTCGAATTGATATTTATAATAATTTTTGGTCTTGTGACCTTTCAAGTTTTTCTTGTTTTCTTGGGTGCCAATGAGATCGTATTTAACAAAAGTAAAAGGCGGCATTTAGGAATGGTAAATATATAATAAGATGTTTACTATTGTTTACTACTTTTTTACTGTTATTTCATTGCTATTGGATATTTTAGTATTTATCCGTACTGATATCGTTAGGATTAAGTACATTGGTGGTTGGAATAATCGGTAGGTACGACCGAATTATTATAATTTATAGAACTTGCAATTTTTTTTATACAATCATCTAAATGCTGAAAATTATATCGTTTTCTTTTCGATTGATTGCTTAAAGGATCTCGCTTTGCTATGTATCAAATACCATTTTGGGATCCCCGGGTATTCATCCCAACGATGGGAATGCTGCTTGGGAATTGCATGTCTGCAATAGCTGTTGCAGTTTCCTATGTATTGGAACAATTCAGTGAACAAAAAGAAAAAATAGAATTGTACTTAGCTTTTGGTGCCAACAAATGGGAGGCCGGGCGTCCTGTTGTAGCAGAGGCAGTAAGATTGGCTATGTTACCTACTGTTAATGCGATGAGGTTTGTACTTTGATATTATATGCTAGTGATGTTTAAACTGTAATAAACATATATTAAATCATTACACTTTATTTCAGTATAATCGGATTGATCTCCATTCCAGGTAAAAGAAAAAAAAAAAGGGGGGGAGATTTCCCAATTATATATTAATTCTGTACTGTATTATGTAGGAATGCTGACGGGTCAATTAATTGGTGGTGCTCCTATCATGGATGCAATAAAATATCAACAAATAATAATGTTTATGATTTCTGCTTCATCAGCTTTGGGAGTCCTTATGTCAACCCTTGTAAGTAGAATAATAATGATTATTATTTTTAATTATCTATTCATACTTATACGTTATTATATATATTTAAAGGTTTGTGTCTTTATATGTATTGATAATTCCCATCGTTTACGCCTTGAAAGAATATCGGATTCTAAACCTTGGGTTTATGTTATACGTGATGGTTTGACTTCTAGTATTAAACATGGAATAACTAGACTTAAAAAGGTTGTATGTTGTTGTTTTTTAAAACAGTCAGATAAATTATCCAATCCAGATAATAACATTTTATTAGATGAAAGTATTTGATAACATTTTAATTTATTTTGCAACATTAAAACTTGTATATGAATATTTTTAGTAAAATGAAAATCACAATATAAAAAAAGTGGGGTGAAATTCTTTATTATCAAGTTTGGACGAAAGACTATGCAATTTGACTTTATGAGTGACAATGATGAAATGATAAAAAATAGAAATTTGGTGAAATTGGTGAAAACTTTGTGAATTAATAGTGATGTAAATGGTGAAATCGGTGAATTAATAGTGATGGAAATGGTGAATTGGTGAAATTAAATAGAGCAGTCAATCAGATTTTAAATAGCCACCAATTCCACCGGCATCACTAGGTGAAAAGATGAGAATCGATTATATTTTGCACTAAATTCTGACTAATCATGGTTTACTTTATTAACTATTCTAAAATATAGTTTTTTAAGAATGCAAATAACAATAGAAGATCATAACCAAAATTATAGAATTATAATTTTCAATAATCCAAATTATTATCAAATTGCCTAAAGCGTGCTGAATATTTCATTAAGCATTCTAATGGCAACCCTGACATAGACGTTTCGCTTCTTAGAATATATCTTCATGTAATAACTAACTCCCAACTTGCTTAATCAATTTGGCTATATTTACATCAAATAATTCACTACGAATTGGCATCTCTGGTGTATAAAAAGGATTTTTCATAACATAATCACTATAAACATCGTAAGTACGTCTAAGCACAAGATCAATATTTTGATGTGTTGGATCGGCAATAATTAGAAACTTCGTTCCTATTAGGTATATAAATAAATAAATAAATGATAAATGTAATCGAACTGAATTTTACGAGTAAAAGAGGTACCCGCCTGTTAACGTTTGAAAGCAATACAATTTAAAAGAATCTGCTTCCAAAACTTCTAATCCAGAAGAAGTTGAATTTCTGACCGGCGAAATTTTAGAAGTTATAGCGTGTACACTTCATATGAAGAAAATTATATACAGAAAGTTATTAGTTAACCAGAATTCATACCAGCATTAACTAATATTGAATATTTTCGTATTCGTCATATTTTAAAGTAATAAAATTTTCCGTTAATAATTACCCGTGAAAAGTACCAGCTAAAACCAAATATTCATTAGCAGTTAAATGAGCTAGCCCTTCATTAAAATCTTTTTGATACATAAGACCACCTGCTTTGCTGATTATATAAAGTGAATAAATCATTTTGTTGTATACGATCTAAACATTTTATTAGAAGTAACTTTTCTCGTTGAGTTACATAGTGATTACGTAATCACGCACCGCACCAGTACCCGAGTGCATCAACACGTGATTATCGACCAATCAAATAGAGGAATTTTGATCATCCCGGATCAGCCCAAAACAAAGCGAAAAAAGTGAAAACAGCGAAAAATATAGGAAACGGCAGTTCAAACCTATCGTGGAGCATTAATTAAAAGTGTCGAAAAGGCAATTTTACTTATAAAATAACTTATTTTAACTCTAACCCTAATCTAATACCTTAGCTATGGTGACAAATTTTGTCGCTAAAAAAAGATTCATATAATGATTTACAAGATTTAGCCAATTAGCGTTAACTATAGTTAATCGTGAAAATATTTTTTAATTATAGTACAAACGTCGTTTTTTTTAGATCTTCCGGTTAACCTTTTCATCTTGATTATTTTAATAGATCTTTTCATTGATTTTTTAGTGTTTACTAGTATCTTTCTTTTTGATATTTACTAGAGTTTTTAGATCTTTTTTTTTCATATTACTAAAGTTCTTTCTTGGTCTCTTCAGTGATTTGATATTTCTCAAGTTCTTTTTAAATCTTTTTTGAAATTTTTTGATCTCTTTAGTATTCTTTTTTAGTTTTTTCTGATATTTTTAGAGCTTTTTTTTAGGTTTTTTCTAGTATTGTTAGAGTTTTTTGATTTTTCTAAGATTCTTTCTTAATTTTTTCTAGTATTTTTTGAGTTTTTTCTTGAGTCTTTTCTGATATTGTTAGAGTTTTTGATTTCTTTAGGATTCTTTTTAGTTCTTTTTGACATTTTTAAAGTTCTTTTTTAGGTTTTTTCTAGTATTGTTAGAGTTTTTTGATCTTTTTAAGATTTTTTTTTAATTTTTTTTAATGTTTTTGAAACTATTTTTTAAGTTTTTTTTTTAGTTTTTTCTAGTATTATTAGAGCTTTTTTTCTGGTATTTTTAGAGTTCTTTGATCTTTCTAAAGTTTTTTCTTGATTCTTTCTAGTATTAAAATTATTTCTTAGATTTTTTTCTAGTATTGTTAGAGTTTTTTGATTTCTTTAAAGTTTTTTCTTAGTTTTTTTTAGTATTTTTAAAACTTTTTTTTAGATCTTTTCTAGTATTCTTAGAGTTTTTTAATTTTTTTAAGATTCTTTCTTAGTTTTTTTTAGTGTTATTATAGTTATTTTTTAGATATTTTCAGGTATTGTTAGAGTTTTTTGATCTTTTTAGATTTTTTTTTTAGTTCTTTTTAATATTTTTAAAGTTTTTTTTTAAGTTTTTTCTAGTAGTTTTAGAGTTCTTTAGTTTTTCTAGAGTTTTTTCTTAGTTCTTTCTAGTATTTTTAAAGCTTTTTCTTAAATTTTTTCTAGTGTTATTAGAGTTCTTTAATTTTTTTAGGATTTTTTTTTGAATCTTTTTAATATTTTTAAGTTTTTTTTTAGATCATTTCTGGTGTAGTTAGAGTTTTTTAATCTTTTTAAAGTTTTTTTTTAATTTTTTTTAATATTTTTATAGCTATTTTTCAGATTTTTTCTAGTAGTTTTGAAGTTCTTTGATTTTTTTAAAGTTTTTTTTTAGTTTTTTTTTAGTATTTTTAAAGCTCTTTTTCTAGTATTTTTAAAGTTTTTTGATTTCTTTAAAGTTCTTTTATAGTTTTTTTTAGTAATATTAGAGTTATTTTTTGAGTCTTTTCTAATATTGTTGAAGTTTATTAATCTTTCTAAGATTTTTTCTTAGTTTTTTTTTATGTTATTAGAGTTATTTCTTAGATCTTTTCAGAGTTTTTTGATCTTTTTAAGATTTTTTTTTAGTTTTTTTTAGTATTTTTGAAGTTTTTTATCAAGTCTTTTCTAGTATTATTAGAATTCTTTAATCTTTTTAAAGTTTTTTTTTAATTCTTTTTAGCATTTTTAAAAATATTTTTCAAATCTTTTTTGATATTTTTAAATATTTTAACCTTTCTAAAGTTCTTTTTTAGTTTTTTTTTTTTATATTTTTAAAGCTCTTTTTCTAGTATTTTCGTAGATTTTAATCTTTTTAAAGTTCTTTCTTAGTTCTTTTTAGTATTATTAGAGTTTTTTTTAGATCTTTTCTAATGTTATTAAAGTTTATTAATTTCTTTAGAGATTTTTTTTAATTCATTTTTATACTATTAGAGTTATTTATTAGATCTTTTCTAATATTGTTAAAGTTCTTTGATCTCTTTAGAATTCTTTCTTGATTTTTTCTAGTATTTTTAAAGCTTTTTCTCAGATCTTTTAGAATTCTTTAATCTCTTTTGATTTTTTCTAACATTATTAGAGTTCTTTTTTAGGTCTTTTCAAGTATTATTAGAGTTTTTTAATTTTTCTAAAGTTCTTTTTTAGTTTTTTCTAGTATTTTTAAAACTATTTTTTAAATCTTTTCTGATATTATTAGAGTTTTTTAGTCTTTCTAAAGTTCTTTTTTAGTTTTTTCTAGTATTTTTAGAACTTTTTCTTGTTTTTTTTAGTATTATTAAAGTTTTTTATTCTAAGATACTTAATTAAAAATTAAATATCAATTTGATAAGCTTATACTAATTATAATGAAATTAAAACCTTATTAAATTAGTAAAATAACTACTTTACTAATTTTTAGCTAGGTATTTTATGTATAATAATAATTGTATTAAGTATATTCATATATATTTTTTTTAGTATAATGTATATATTCAAGAATATAAATTAGTTAAAAACCAAATTAGTTATGCATATGCATATTTATCTTTCTTTATTATATATTATATATTTCAAAGTCTCTAAGTTAGCTAAAAAGTATAATTATTAAGATTAGCTAAAAAGTATAATTATTAAAATTAACTAAAAAGTATAATTATTAAGATTAGCTGAAAAGTATAATTATTAAAGTTGGCTAAAAAATATTATCATAATTATATTTCACAAAATAAGAAAAATAGTATAATAATTTATAATAATTTGTAGGAAAAAGTAATTATATATGTAGTAAAAATATGTAAAATTAATAAATTAAAAAATATATTTAAATAGTATTTTTAATTTTAACTAAATTTTAAAATTTAATTTAAATTCAAATAAAAGACTTCAAATCTTAACTAAATAATTAGTTACTTATTTAAATATTTTTTAAAACTTCATAAAAATAAAAATAATTAATTTGATAGTCTCTATTCAAACTTTTTTTTTTTTTTTTTTTTTTGTTATTAAGGCCACTTCCTTGACTGATTAGATTTTATTAGTTTGTTATTATAGAACTAT